GAACTCACCAGCCTGGCAGTAGAAAGGCATTTCATAGACCAAGGGAGTATCTGCATACCTGATGAACTGGGGCACATTGAATGTATCAATGGTCACACCAACATTTGGATATGAAGTGGTTGGTAAGTCAAAAGTATTTTTTGTTATCCAGTAAGTTCTTCCATTAGCATTGTAGTCAGTGTTCTTGAAGAAGGCAGTGTTCCCAACCCCAGTTGGGGGCTGCTCAACTTGACCATCATAAGTCAGTCTGCCGAAGTGAATGTTTATTTGGAAAGCAGTTCAGTGTACTGAATAAAATTGGCACAAGGGTTTGTTCAAGAGACTTAGCAGTATTTAAAGTATAAAAATAATTTGGATTGGTTTTTCCGCTGGCTTCTGCTTTAGAATCCTCCAGACCAGCATAGAATCATCAAGACTCAAATGAAACATGTTGTTCATCTGTTTATAGTACTCTGGAAGCTCAGCAGCTACTTCAGCAAATTTTTCAGGGTGAATTTTATGACAAACATTGCTACAGGATGACTGATACAATTTTCAAATTTCATCACACATCACATTTTCAATTATATTCCTAGAAAGATTTGACACAGATTAAAATTTTGAATATTACCAATTAACAAGCCAAATGCTTTTTCATAATTGGTCCATGTAAATGCTATTTCCTCAGTGTTTTTGTCAATTTCAAACCAATCACCTTCTATTCAAGTCTGAGACAGGGAAGACAGTAATGCTAAAATCAACCTTGTTCTGGAAAATAAAATAAAAAATTATTCTCAGGTTATATTTTCACTGTTGTTTGAGTCTCAGTATAACGCATCTTTATTATAACTAAATATTTCAAGACCCAAATGAATGTTTTGTGGCACAATCCTCCTCTGCAAATTACAATCTTTTTCATAAGGATAATGATCAGGTGTTGAGAATGCAATAACAAAGGAAAATGCTGTATTAGTGGTTTCTTGTTCTGGTGGAGTGTATGCATGTTTTAATGTACTTATCAATGTTTCTAGTGTTCAGAATGTTTATGAAACAGTTCTGTGTAATTAAAAGTATTTCCAGCCAAAAATTAACACTGCAACAAAAGGTAAAACAGGCTGACAAAACCTTTGAACCAACCCAGTTAAAGTGTCTTTGTATATAATGACATGGAACGACTATAGGGTCAATTGTGGTACCCACACATACGTCCAACGTTTTGTATAGAGGACATCAGTAAACGTCGTGGGTTCTTCTTCACTTGAGAAGCGACTTTTTGTACGTGCCGTATATTCCTCAGTGAGTCTAAACTGGCAGTATCTCTGAAATCTGCCAAAGTCCCACAAGTTTGCAATTTGCACCAGTTGTTCCAGTTTTGAAGTCCAGTTCCAGTATAATCCCCTTGCCAGGATCCTCCAGGATACACAAAGTATCTTGTTGTTGGTGCATTAGATGCATAAGTGACATCACTCGCTATATGGAGGATGGATTTGGAATAGCAGGACAATTAGCCTTATGCTTAGATAGTGTCTTTATTTTTCATGAATATACTCACTGCCTTCAAAGCTCAGTTTTCATCAACCCCATGGTTAGGTCAAAGGTAGTTACGTACAATACCCGGTATGAGACTGTATCTGTGAGAGTGTCGGGTGTTGTCAACTCGACTACTTACTACAGTGTCTCAAATTTATCACGATACAATTATAGAGGATGTGTGCACATAGTTTAAGGTCATGCAAACTGATATTCAGCAACTCATTTTTGAAAAGACATAGGCCACAAATACATTTGAAATGTAGCTCATACAGTAGTATTGATTTGTGATGCATTTATTTATCACAAATGTATAGGTACCCTCTCACTGTAATTTGATTTTCCTTGCAAATATTAAATTTGAAAAAAAATTAGGTTCCACTTCTTTATTTCAATAATATTCTACTGCAGAGAAGAAAAACCTGCTCATTTTCTTCAGAGGAATTCAAGAAAAACACATTCATGCTTAGCTTGAGGCACATTATGACCAAGGGCAGGCTTTCAGGATATGGCCAAGGTTTGTTGGTTTACCGACAGTTCGTTACGGACAGTTCGTTACTGCGACATTTCGTTACAGCGACGTTTCGTAACAGCGACTTTTTGTTACAGGACAATTCGTTACAAGACATTTCGTTACAGGGACATTTGGCT